AAGCACCTGGGTACGGCACCGCAGGCCAGGCGTGAGACATCCTCGGGGAGACCTTTGTCCAGCCGTGGACGTTCTAATTATTCCTCCGGCACGTCGAAGTCAATTCGCCTGACCTTTGTAATAATTATTAGCCTCCTCCGGGATTGCCTCCTCGGCGTAGAGCCAAGAGGAGGCAGGGGCGCCGGTTTGACCGGGGCTGGAGGGTTTGGACCGCAATGCTCGTCGTGACCGTCGGCTTCTGTACCATCAGTGTCTGTACCGTCACTGTCAGTACCTGTAACAATAATTCAATTTGTTTAGAGTATGCAATAAAAATAAAATTTTCAACTAAGTACTACAAACAAACAAACAACAGTGACTAACTATGTGGGGAATTCAATCGAACACAGGACCTCCGGGTCGAAAGAGCTTCTAATAAGATTAAAGTGGCGAATATTTCAATGTGAAAAATACTTACTGAGTGTCTTCGTGAAAGTGAATTTGAAGTCAGCTGCCACAGGCACGAGTCTCGTGGCAACTGCTTGAGTCCAATGATACGGCGGCTCTAAAAATGAAATAAAATAACCACATTAGATAAGTAGTAGTCACTATACGCAAATTGCCAAGGTTCGCACTAGTTTAACCTCTTGCGTATCATAAAATTAATAATATAAAAGTATGTGATATTTACCGTTGATAGGTGAGGCAACGGGACTGACAGGGTAGGTCTCGATCGACGTGTCATCTTCATTAGGCTCATCTTTTTGCAAATATTCCGATGTTATCACTTCATAATCTGTGAACAAAACATAAATTAATAGAATGAAAAACATAAAGCAACATAAAAAAGTCAGTGTTTAAAGTATAAAAAATACATTACCTTCCACATAGGCGGGCACGGCCAAAATATCCGGTTGGAAAACTTCCAAGGGCAGGCAACTGAAAGGGCACATGCCCTTGTACTGGTAAAAGAAGTACTCGTAATCGGGAAACATTTTGGACAACCTTCCACTCTGAACTCTGCGCTTCGACTGGCTGACAAGCTTTCCTCGCGGCGCTTAAGTACCTGCAACGGAGCGTCTCTGCCTGCCCCGGCGCTAGGCTGAGTCACTATTGTTTTGACTTAACAAAGCATGAACCCTAATGTGCATGACTTCATACTCAAATGTGCATGACTCAACTCAGCGATTACTCAAAAATAAAGTTATTAGCATAAGACAAGTGTTCTGCAATTATTATTATAAATTAGCCTAAATAAGTACCTATTTAGTATAATATCTCAATAACTAATTTAGGATGATTTTGATATTTCTACAGGACTTTTTAGTAAGTTTAACTTTTAGTTCTTCGCTATCAAACAATTTTTATAAAATCAATATTAATCGTGTATTAAAGAAATTTATTAGACGTAGGAAGATATTTCCAGACCATACATTTATTACATTAAAACTTAACAGAAAATAAAAATACAAACCCAGAAGCCTACATACCAAATGATTTTGTTTTAGCCCCTCAAAAGGAATGAAATAAAACAATAACGTTCCAACGTTAATTAAACCAATTGTTTCACAACTATTTTCTCGTTTGGCCTTAAAATGTTTGTCATCAATAAGCAACTTGGCAAATTCACTGGAACAGAAAATTATTATAAAATGTAAAATGTTATGATCACTGAGAGACCTCAGTTGTTCAGTAGACTATACAACATTG